CCCTATTCAGCCCCGGCCGGCGGGTTCTCATTACCCGCCGCGGAGGGGCCAGACGCGCCCCCCGAGAGGCCTCCGCGCAGGAAACCAGGGGAGCACCGGCGGGCTCCGAGGGGGGAAGCGCGCCGGGGGGAGGTTTATCAGCTCACCATGTTTCCTTCTCTTTTAGGAGGCAGATTTAAAAAAGAGGGCTGGGGGGGTGGCCGGGGAAGAGAGGTTAAAATCTGACTCCGGCGTTGGGGAGAGACGTTCACCTTTGCAGCGCGCTTGGAAGATAAAGGATGAACAAAGGAAGCCCGGGCTTTGCTCGGGTGCCCGATGTCCAGCTGCCGGGAAATAAAAGTTGTGTGCACGTCTCCTTTTTCTGACCCGCGTGCTGGGCTCTGGCGAGGCAGCGGCCGCACCGAGCCCCTTGCGTACCCCCAAGCGCCCTGCACGCCGGCCCCCCCGCCGCAGCATCTGGCCGGGAGGCCGGTGACGTAAGGGGAAAGGCGAGAGCGGGGGCCGATTTTCAGACTGTGGGGGCGGAAATGCTGGAAAATCTGAAATGCGAAAGCGGCACAACCGAGACCACGATGCCACGGAGGAGATGCTGGCTCCGGCGCCCGCGCCGGCAGCCCGGACACGGAGCGGGCAGGAGATGCCGGTCCTGCCACCGGCCCCTTCCCGGGAGGGTTGAGCCCAAAGAAATCGCTCTGGTCGAGCGGTGAAATGCCGGGTCCAGGCAGGGGTGAGCTACCGACGCCCCGGCAGCCCGGGCACGCCGGGGAGCGGGATGTCCAGCGCGAGGGCCGGGGCAGATCCCCCAACACGGGCTGGACAAACGGCTCCGGGAGCAGCAGCGGCCCCTTCCCGGATGCCGGCGGGGGACGAGAAGGGACCCGCGGGGTCCCGGCACGCAGAAACCCCCGGGGCGGAGGGAACCGGGTTCCCTCCCCACGCTGCGGTCTCCCCACGCTGGCGGGGTGGCTCTGGGGGAGGGTGGGTGGCAGGGGCACCGCACGGGCACGCAGAGCGCGCGATGCCCCCCGCGCGCCTCCTGCCCCGTCCTTGCTGGGAGGGCGCCGGGGGCCGCAGCCGGTTCCTGCCCAGCCCCGATCCCATTTCCCACTTCCCTCCAGCCTCGAGATCTTTCCCGCTCGGACGCGGCAGCAGCTCCACCCCGGCGTGGGGATATTAACCCCATCGGCACCTCCTGCCCGAATGCGGCTTTTGGACGACGCGCGATGCGAGACCGGCGCTGCCACCCCACGGGGAACGGCCGAGAGGGGGCTTGGGGCTTGGTGACAATAAACCAACGGTCCCAGGGGGTCAAAGACTAAGTTTTCCTTTACCCTCAGGCAAGGCCTGCGCAGCGCCGGCGGTTTTCCTTTCCCCGAAGGGAGATGGTTTCCCTCCTGACCCCCTGCATCGCTCCTCTGGCTCGGCTGTGCTGAGACGGTTACAGCGGGAACCGGCTGCCGAGCTGGCTCAGGGGGCTGGGACGGGGCAGGGAGGTACAGGGAGGTCCCCGATCCCGCTCGGAGGTCTTGCAACAAGAGCGATGGGAGACAAAGAAAACCTTCCCCGAAAGAGGCAGGGCAGGGGGGCCCGCACGGCGCGGCCGCCCCCCCAGGGCTCGGGGCCGGGCGGCTGGAGCCCGCAGGACCTCCGCTTGCCAGCCTCTCCTGGTTTCTCTGTGTTTACACAATGGGGGAGTGCCTGGAGCGGAGTTCGCTGGCTGGGACCGTGCGGCGTCTGCAGGGCACCCTCCAGAGGAGACCCACGCTCCTGCACGCCAGGAGACGGACGCCGCTCGTTAGTCCCGGGCGCTAATTCTCGTCTTCCCACCCGAGCCCCGTGCATCGCAGAGCCTCCCCCCAAAACCCGTCCTTCCCCGCTCGCGCGTACCTCCTCGTCCTTGTACCAGGACAACGACTCGGCCGTCAGCACGAACCAGTACTCCTTGGAGCCTCCCTTCATGATGCTGATGTTGTTGATGGTCAGCCAGCCTCTGCGGATCACCTGCAGACAGAGGAGCGGTGGCAGGGAGCGGAGGGGAGGAAGGAAGAAGAGGTTACAGGCTACTGTGGAGTCTCCGGGGGAGTTCCCCCGACGGGGAGCAAGGGGAAGCGCTCCTCAGCCCGAAAGCCCACCTCGTCCCTTCACAGAAAGCCCCTGCCTCAGCAGAAGACCCTCGACCAGGCAGAATTCGAGACGCCCATCTCCGAGGTAAGCTAGCAGCACGCGAGGGGACGGCTGGAGCTCTTCTAGCTCCCAAAGCTGGGCGAGAAAAGCAGCGAGCCCCTGCCCGCGCTCGCGGTAAGATGCTGCGGCACGGTCAGATCCAAACCCAACTCGGCGTTAACTCCCCCTCGCCGCCGGTGCCAGTCTGCCAGCAGCAGCCCGGCGCCGGACAGGAGAGGTGAGGGAGAGCAAACGCTCCAGTGCTCCACCGGGACGAGACAGGCGGGAATTCAGAGCGTGTCTCGGGTTTAAGAGAGGACCGGAGCTGCCCGGGGGCGTTACGGTCTCTGCCGAGGGCTGTTTTGGGGTGTCCCGCAGAGGGGTGCCGGTGCCGGTCCGTCCCAAAGGTCGGCACGCAGCGCGGCGGTGCCGGGAGCACCGTAAAAAGCAGACCTCAGCCTCCATCCCGGCTGTTTCAAAGCCGCTGTCGCGAACCAGGCTAGGAAAGGTCTGCGGAGACTAACGGAGCCCCATCGGCTGCGGCACCTTCCCAGGAGCAACGACCAACTTACCCAGTCCAGCCGCTACCGGAGCAGCTCTCCCCATCCCCGTTCTGCTCAGGGTCTCCGCGAGCACGTGCCCTGGCTGAGCGCGGCCGAGGCAGCCCTCGGCCTCGCTACAACCGAGGAATCCCCCGTTTCTCGCCCAAACCCACTCCCCCTCTGGTGCGTTGCCCCCTGCCCCAAAGCAGCCTCCCCCAGGGCAGCTCCTCTGCCTCCTCGCGGGCAGGCAGAGCCGGCAGGCCTCGCCGAGCTCGTAGCCCCCGGCGAAAGGCTCCCTCGCAGCCCCGCGGACGGACCTCACATGCAACACGGAGCAGCAGCCGCCGGCAATCGGGGCAGCAGCGCGCTGAAGCGAGATTGCCAAAGCCTGACGTTGCAAGCAGCGGTTGTTCACAACACAATGCACGAGGACCGCGCTGTCCGGAGCAGGCGGGAGCGCTCCCTGTCCTAACTCAGCCCGGGGAGCTAACGGCCGACCGTTATCTCCATCGTGGCACTCGTGCTCTCTCCCAGCGCCGGCGGCGAGGATCGCACGATGCCGTAGCCGGCCCCTGCAGCTACCACACAGCAGAGCCCTGGCTAGACCGTCCCGCGCCTGTCTCGGCAGCGCCGGAGCTAGAGGGGAACCACCCTGCCGACGCCAAGGAGCGTCCCTGCGCCTGTAACGGCTTCCCCGAGACAAGACTCCTCGTGGAACAGCTCCGCCATCGCTGGGTGCACCTCAGCGGCAGCGGATCCCCACCGGGACACCTCTGCCCGCTGGAAAACACGGTGAGTTAGCACAAACCGCTCGCGGCTGCGGAGACGTGCTGGAAGCTGGAATCTCCCCTAGCCTTGAGTCCGGACAGTCCAGGGCTGGGCTGGGACTAGCGAGCACGCTGCTAGCGGTTAGACCCTGCCCAGCTGCTCCCGCCGGCCTCCCAGGAGAGGGGCAGCCGATCGACCTCCGCCAGCCGCACGGCCACCATCTCTGGGACAGGCCGGGAGTTTTCTAAGCATTTCAAATGCAGGCAGGATTACGCTCTGCCCGGCGGGGTTCCTCCATTGTTCTGGGAGCTATTGTACGGAGAGGAAGGTCACCGCGGTTCGGCACAGGCCCCAGGGCTGCAGCAGAAGCCTTTAGACCGAGCTGCAAGCCTCTCTCCCCACCAGGGCTGCAGGGGAGCGGCATTCTTCTCACCATCACCCCCGTGGTTTTACTGCGGAGCTGCTACGCCGGCCGCTCCGTGAGCCGCACGGCAGGAGCCTGCTGCGCTTCCCGATGCCGGCCTGCCTGCAAACGACCCGCTCCCAGGTCAAGAGGGGGAACGGAGGGTCCCCAAACCTGCCTGCTTCTGCTGCATCACCCCATCCAGCTGGGACTCTGCTCCGGAGGCACCCAGGCACCCGAGGGTCAGACCCGGCCGGGGCAGGAGCTGCCTCGCACACAGCAACACCGACCGCTGCTAGGGACCCGAAAACTGCGGGAGAGCTGCCTGGCAAGCACCCGCTCCTGTAGGACCTGATGGCTTTAGGGAGAGCCCAGCCGAGCTGGGAGGTAGCACGGCTAACACCTTCCCGGTACGCCAGCGGTACCCTGCGTAACGGGATGCTTTAGGCGCCCTGCACCGAGCGTGCCGGCAGCAGCTCAGCAAAGCCGGTGCCCCAAGGCCACGGCTTTTCTACCCCAGCGCTTCACAGGGGTTAGTACCACCACACGGGTTAGTAATGGGCAGACGTGGGGAAAATGCACCGGGGGGGGTTGATTCAGGTCAGTCCAAAGCATGGATGGGAGGGAGAACGAACAACCCTCGCGGTTAAGCAGAGAAGAGTTAGACACGAGCGAGAGGCAGAGTTTGTTATGGCTTGTACGGGGACCAGCTCTGAGCAGCTGCGCTCGAGACCAAGGCAGGGCTTTAATCTCAACGCTGGGATTAAGCGGGTGAAGCGGAGCCAGCCCTTACGTGCCGAGGCTCTTCCGTGCGCTGCTGGGGAACCTACCGAGGGATGGGGCTCGGGCCGCGCTCGTTTTCAGGCTGCTCAGGCGGCTGCCAACGTAAAAGCCACGACAAAATCCACCGTGTTAGGCACAGACAAAGCTCGGTGCGCCGGCAGGCACAGGCAGCTAGAGCTAAAACTTAACTCATACAGGTTTTTCTGGCGAGGGGAAGGAAGGAGCCCTGAAGTTAAGAGGGCAGAGGTTGTCCAATTAAAGATTTCACCTTCTGATTCGCTCTGGCGTGTTTGAGACCCCGACTGGCATTTGAAAAACCATCTCTGAATTTGAACCGAGTCTGGTTTTAAAGGAACAGAGGGAGGAGAGGGGGGAAGATGGAGCAGTTGAGAGGATCAGGGACAAGGAAAGGGCAGAGGGAAGAGG